TTTAAAAAAGTAGATAATTCTTCGGTTTGAGAGGAAGAAAGAGTCACTGCAACATTCATTTCAATTTCATGATTCACACAATACCGCAAAGACATTTTTGCTATTAGGCATTTACTATTAGCTTCTCACTTCAGCAGCTGGTCTGTCACGTTATTGTCTTCCCAAAGTTCCGTTGTGTTTTGGCACTTTCTTATTATTGTATATTTTTTTAGCTTTTGCTACCATATTTTCTGCACTATAAAGCACAGCTAAAATCCTTTAATTTTCTCAAAAATCAACAGTTCACCTTATAATCTGGTTTGCCTTATGTATGAATTCTGGTTGTACTTATCTGACCTTGAACTGATTTTATGTGGTACACAATGCTCAAAAATCAGTCAAAAAATGTTTTACTACGAGTTCGGTAAGCTACTAAGCTGCACCACTTGATGGATTGTTGGAGCATTATGGTTAACATAGTCAGGAGCCTCGTGGACTCTGAGTAATCTGGGTCCAAAACCTGTCCGCTTCAGGTCCCAAAGTCAAACAAACACCGTGGCTTCTGTTAAGGTTCAAATATTGAGGAGAAATACAGGAGGTAATCAACTTTCATAATAACAACACTGATCCGGCCAGGTGAAGTCAAACGATGATTTTAATGCACGCGTGGGGGGACCAGCGCCGTACGCAGACAGAGCATAAGCGGATGCTTTATACCATCAGGGCTTAAACAAATGCTTCCTGTCAACCTTCTGACTTTCACTTCTTGTCTGGAACACAGACCCACATCCTGCAAGAAACTGTTCCTCTTTTTGCAGAGACAGTTTTGCAGTTGCAAGCAAACATGACTAACCTCTCACCTATAAATGAGTCTATCTACTGTGTGTGTGTGTGTGGGTGTCAGCATGAAATGCACTCAGCTTCACCTCTCACCTCACCGGCTGAGCCTTGTAACCTTTTCCACCAGACAAAAGGCCAGCACGTACACCACTGAAACTATATGTGTAATATATTGAATAACTTTTTAATCAAATGAATGCCCCTACTTCAAAGCTTAATAAAAAGGATATAAATGACTAAAAGATAACAATGAATAACCTGGTTATTCAAATAGCATCCTCCCCACAGCTCCTCAAAGTAACTTTCACAAGCACGCTCTGCAAAAGCCTGCACTTCCTGTCTACTTTGGCACAGAGTGTACTACACTCAAACTACACTTTCTTTTACGACCCAACAGAATCAGCACATACACATTTAAGATTATAACAAGCATTCAAAGGCATTCAAGATTATTGATTAAACTCAACAGTTTAACGTGGTTATAACTGCATCTGTAATAAAGGCTAATTGGGTGCCAATATGTTTAAACATCTGAATACAATATCAATACTGTAAACTGTATGATTAATGCAATGGTAATGAGGATGATTATTAACAATAGCAGTAAAATAATTTCCCTGATCTCCAGACTTCACAGAGAGTTAAAAACTGTCTAAATTACACCTGGTAAAGCGTTGCTGCTTTACCAGGTGTAACAATTAAGTTTAACATCCAGGCATCCATGAAATTTAATGGAGATCAGTGAGCCACCAACACCTGCACCTGAGGACATCACGCCACCAAACGTGCTTTGTCTGACCCTACACGGTCTCCATGTCCAACACGGCCTACATGTCATGGATTGTTTGCCATGCTACGTCGTTCCCCACCAGAGCTACTACAGCACTGACCACCTGAACTGGTTTTCTCTCACCGGAACCGCGGCAGGTCGCCTGAGCTGCAACGCCGTTGCCACGGACCCAGGTCAAGCCACCTGAACTGTGGCCAGGCTGGCCACCAGATCTGTCTCGCTACTGCTGCCGAAACCACAGCAGGCTGCATGAGGGATCTTGCCAGCATTGTCACCCTGCTATGTGGCCATTGCAGGAGTCACAGTTGGGCCTATGAACGTCTGGTCCACCTGTTAAAGGGGGACAGAGGACCCAGAGGGGGAAAATAAGCGTGACAACTAAGATAACTGACACCTAGTGGGTATAAAGATAGCAATCTTTGGCTAGATTGACTAATTTAAAATACAAAAGAGCAAAAGGTGTTAGACTGTGTGGCGTGCACAGCCGCCCACCCAAAGTGGAGCAGGAAACTGCTCTACTTTGGCCAGTCAATTTCCACAAATTGACAATAAATCAGGTCCAGAACTTTTCACTCCGAGAAAAGCAAACTATACTTGTTTTAATTTTACAGTAAGCAATCAGGGAACCAACAAGCATGACGCGGGAGATGTTGACTCTGACTGGTGCGCTGTGACGTATCTGGCCAGAGGAAAGGTAAATCGAGAAAACGGCACCTACATAGGCCCGTGGGCGTGTGCAGATTTATACTACTATTACGGTGAATACAGACTATACGTCAGAATCCCTAGCGGGACTTCTGGCCTGTGTGCCATGGTATGTGTCGGGGCACCTTTAGTTTTTGCAGGGGGAAAGGGGGGTGCGACTGGGTAAACCCTGCACTGCCCAATTAACAGTGTAACGTGAGGGTTCACTAGATGGTTTGGAATCTCTCTGAATAATTAGAAACAGCAAGATGGAGACGGATAACTTTTTAGCAGCCTCTTTACTCTCAGCACACGGCAACAACAACCCACAATTCCTGTGTGCCGCCCTCATGAATACTTCACTGGCCTCTCAGAAACCAGGAAATCTTATACTCAGATCAAAACAGGAAAACAACCAGGTAGATATAACACATACTTATTACTGGTTTGAACATGCATGTCTAAACATTCAAACGCGTAAACATGTAAATATCAAAACTTAAAACTTATTTAAATTTACTTCTACACTTTACAACAGTAAGGTGCAGACGCCATGTTTTGAGGAAGCGCTCGACATGCTCATTTGACCTTTCTGTGGGTTCACCAATGTATATAGATGCTATTGGGTGCCTAGAGGGGTTCCAAACGAATATAAATTGGCTGACCAAATTGTGGCTGGGTTTGAAAATTTACCAGTAGTTGTGGGGATTATTTCAATTATTCCAATTACTCCAAATTAGAATGTGGACCATATTAATTACATCCACTACAATGTGCTTAGGTGGGCAAACTTAACTTGTAATGCAGTAGAAGGATTAGCAGAGCAATTAGGACCCACTTCTATTCTCAACAATACTCCCGGGATAAAATAGTAACCAGAGAACTGGAAGGCCTGAATACCTTGTCTAACATCCTGAATGAGCACTTGGGAGTCGACAATCCACTGGAGGACGGGATGACCTCTGTCTCTGGGCAATGAGAGTGTTTTAATGTGTCCTATTGGGTTTCCTTATCCATTTTTATAGCTATTTTGGTAACTTGCGGTTGTTGTGTGCCTTCTATCTGAGGATTATTGGTAAGGTTGGTTAACAGGGCTGTTGGGGATCTGATACCAAGGCAAACAACATGATGATGCTTGATGACTTTCAATTAGTGTTGATCTGCCATGGGGGCAGATCAAAGGGGGATTATTGAGATGAGATTATTTGAAGTGTCTCAATAATGCTATGTTTTTTATTAATAAGTGTTATAAAGTTATATAGTGTAGTATTAAGTGGACACGGCCCTGAATAATAAAGGCCCTTATAGCGTGTCACTTTCTGAGAAGTAAATTTGCAGGAAACTCTCTCCCACGCTTGGCTGCAAAAAGTAACGGTTAAAGGAGAAGTAGGGCAATGTTGCAGCCTCGCCAGAGATGAGAAAGGTGCGTTGCAGCTAATAGACAATAAACTCTGAGCACGCTATGCAACGTGACTACTGAATGCCTGTGAAACACTGTTGTTTTTAGACTAGAGTGGGACAGTTTCTAATAAAATTGTTTGGCATACACTTTTTGTATGCCTTTTTTGAGATTCACAGCAACATGTCATGCATGATGCATCTCCCTTCTAGAAGTATTGTGTAAGAGAATAAAGTGTGAAATGGTCTACTGAGCAGTGTTTTATCCTCCATCAGATGCCTATGAGGAATCAAAAGAACCCGGTGAAGTTTTGATAATTAACAGTTACTGGAATCCACAGCAACAGTTTTTAAGCATTATATTTCTTGGTTGGATTTTTCACAATATATGCTGATGTAACACAGTTGTTATGAAACATCTATTATGCCCATCCCACATTACTGTCCATGCCCTGGTGGGTGTGGATCAAAAAGTGATGAAAGGGGTTGACATAGGCTTTTATATAAAATGAAGGAGCCATGAATACAAATAAGAAAAAATGAGGCAGTTATGGGGGGCTTTCTTGTCAGATATTTGCTTATGTTTATCTGTCTGTTAATGATTTTGTTGTTTTCCTTTCTGGAGTCTTCCTTTCCACCTTCATCCTGTAAATTGCAAAAGAAATTTAATCTCAATGGCATACACAGGCCTGGGGATGTAATTCTGGGAGGGTTATTTGAAGTCCATTACAGTTCTGTATTCCCTGAGCGGACGTTCACCTCAGAGCCAGATCAGCCTAACTGCCATGGGTAAGTCTCACCCATGTAGCTGACAAAATTCTCTCATTGCTATTATTGCTTAGAATTTAGTTGCTCTTTTTCATTTTTTGTGTATTTTAGATTTGACACCCCTGGATTCAGACATGCCATGACCATGGCCTTTGCTATTGATGAGATTAACAAGAATTCAAAGCTACTTTCTAATGTGACTCTGGGATACAGCCTTTATGACAATTGTGCTACACTTGAGATTGGATTCAGTGCAGCATTGTCATTAGCCAGCGGTCAAGAGGAGCAATTTTGGCTTCTGGAGAACTGTTCAGGGACCCCTTCAGTTGTGGGGATTGTGGGTGATCCTTTCTCCACATTTTCTATTGCTGCCTCAAGTGTTCTTGGTTTATTCAAGCTTCCTATTGTGAGTTTCCCAATTCTACTTATTTGTGTGCTTCTTATATACTGCATTTTAATTGATCTACATTGTTAAATAAAATTATCTGAATGTCCCTTGCAATTTGCACAATTGGATTTTATAATATATGCTTCTTGACAGGTGAGTTATTTTGCCACTTGCTCCTGTCTGAGTGATCGACAGAGGTTTCCATCCTTCTTTAGAACAATCCCAAGTGATGCTTTCCAGGTAGAAAGTTTCACAATAAGAATTAAGTTTTTATCTGAGGTTAATTACTGACAGAAAACTTAGACATGAGCCAAACCAGTCAAAGAAATACTTTTTGCAAAATTTTGCATATTTGCTTTGAACATTTTTAATTAAAATACAATGTATTTAGGTGAAAGGTGTTATCATGAGAAGTTAACTTTTATTTAATGTTATTTTTTAAACTTTCATTAAATTAACTTTTTGATATTAGACATGAACAAGCAAATTTTCACTAAAAGAATATTTACACATGTACACTAACAACTTCAATCTCTTTTCATGTAGGTCCGTGCTATGATTCAGATTCTAAAACACTTTGGCTGGACATGGGTAGGTCTGCTAGTCAGTGATGATGATTATGGACTCCATGTTTCCAGATCCTTCAAGTCTGACTTTCTTCAATTAAGTGGAGGTTGTTTGGCCTACTCAGAGATTTTACCTTGGGAAGATCATCGAAATGAATATAAGAAAATTGTGGATCTGATGGCCAGATCCACAGCTCGTGTTGTCATTGTGTTTGCACTTCAAATACACCTGATTCATCTCATGACAGAGGTTAGGGAAAATATCATAAAACACACTGCAGGTAATGTATTACAAGAGAGTAAAAACATAACTGCAATGCAATCCACAGGTGGTGAAACAAAATGTTACAGGCTTGCAGTGGATTGCCAGTGAAGCTTGGACAGTAGTTGGTGGACTCCATACCCCTGAATTTATGCCATTCCTTGGTGGAACACTAGGCATTGCCATCCGACGAGGAGAAATACCAGGCTTTAGAGACTACTTGTTAAAAATTAATCCTGAAGAACAGAACAGTGCAAACAACATGGTGAGAGAGTAACTTTAAAAACTTCAAGTCAAAATTTTGTTGGTTATTATTGTTGACCTGTTTTTGTTTCTCTGGTTGTTGTGCATTTTAGGTGATGCAGTTTTGGGAAGATACATTTCACTGTAGATTTTCAGCAGACTGGTTGGAAGATGGTGGGACACTTTGCACTGGAGAAGAAGAGCTTAGGAAGGCTGAGACTGAACTTTTGGATGTGACTGAACTCAGGCCCGAGTATAATATTTATAAAGCTGTGTATGCTCTTGCACATGCCCTTGATGACATGCTGCACTGTGTTCCAGGGAGAGGACCTTTTACTGGGCACAGCTGTGCCACTTTGCAAAAATTAGAGCCATGGCAGGTTTGATGTCATTTTATACTCCAGTCATTCATATTTTACAAAAACTTTATGGAAGAAAGATAATTGTGTAGCAACTAATAATATAGATTCATGTCTCACCGCTTTAAAGACACAATAGCAAGAAGTTTTGCTATTAATTACTGTATGATTGTACATTGATGAACTAAGTAATAGACTTAATTCCAGGTTGCTCCAATAATTGGTGTATAAAAGAAGAAAAAAGTTCATAAGCCTTTATCTATCACTTTTATAGCTGATGTATTACTTGGAAAAAGTCAACTTCACAACTCCATTTGGTGATCAAGTATTTTTTGACGAGAATGGTGATGCCTTACCTATCTATGATATCATGAACTGGCTGTGGCTCCCTGATGGAAGCACTAAAGTTCAGAATGTGGGTGAGGTTAAGATGTCAGTTTTCAAAGGTGAAGAAGTCACACTTGATGAAAGCAAAATCTTCTGGAACTTTAAATCAAAAGAGGTAATTTCTCCTATTCATAGAATTTGCTTTCAAATTAAAGGATAGTACAGTACACAATACATGTATAACTGGTGTTGAATAACTTTAAAAAAAATTTTTCCCTTTAAGCCACCTACATCAGTTTGCAGTAAAAGCTGCCCTCCAGGAACACATATAGCAAGGAAGCGGGGAAAGCCTGTGTGTTGCTATGACTGCATCCCTTGCTCTGAGGGAAAGATCAGCAATAACACTGGTTTGTATCAATTGACATTATAATGCATGAGATGTGCGATGTTTCTTTGTGTTTAGCAGTGTACGGTCCTATGGTGGCTTTTATTAACACCGAGCCAAAATTATTGTGAGAGTGGTTTCCAGTTACACATCAATGAAAATATTACTAGATGAAAATACTGACTGTCCATTTTATTGTACAAGACACTCATAATAGGACAAAACAGTGTGAAACCAAATGAAGAAATCAATGTCAATTCTTCCCATGTTTTTTAGACTCCTTAGAGTGCACCAGTTGTCCAGAGGACTTCTGGTCAAGCCCCCAGAGAGATCACTGTGTTCTTAAGAGAACAGAGTTCCTCTCCTACCATGAACCCCTGGGAATCTGCTTGACAACCACCTCACTGCTGGGCACATTTATCTGTACTGTTGTTCTAGGAATTTTCACATATCATCGCAGCACACCTGTGGTGCGTGCAAACAATTCAGAATTGAGCTTTCTGCTTTTAGTGTCACTTAAGCTGTGTTTCCTGTGTTCACTGTTATTCATTGGAAGACCCAGACTTTGGACATGCCAACTGAGACATGCAGCATTTGGGATCAGTTTTGTGCTTTGTGTCTCATGTATCCTGGTGAAAACTATGGTTGTTTTGGCTGTGTTCAAAGCCTCCAAGCCAGGAGGCGGAACCAATCTTAAGTGGTTTGGTGCTATGCAGCAGAGAGGGACAGTTCTGGTTCTTACTTCCATTCAAGCTGCAATCTGCACTGCCTGGCTTGTCTCTTCCTCTCCAACTCCACATAAAAACACCCAATACTACAATGACAAAGTGGTGTATGAGTGTGCTGTTGGGTCTACAATTGGCTTTGCAGTGTTACTGGGTTACATTGGTGTGCTGGCTTTCCTTAGCTTTCTGCTAGCATTTCTAGCCAGGAATCTTCCAGATAATTTCAATGAGGCCAAATTCATCACATTTAGCATGCTGATCTTCTGTGCCGCTGTTTGGGCGGCCTTTATCCCTGCTTATGTAAATTCTCCTGGCAAATATGCAGATGCAGTGGAGGTATTTGCAATCTTGGCCTCAAGTTTTGGGCTATTGGTGGCACTGTTTGGACCCAAATGTTACATAATTCTGCTTAAACCAGAGAGAAACACAAAGAAGGCAATCATGGGTCGAGAGGCCACCAAGCCATAAAACCAACATCTGTAGGATAATGACCAAAAATATATTCATATTAATGCAGCCATAATTTGTCCTTTAAATGTTTTTATACAGTTTTACACATTAGTGTTGTTTTCATCAGATTTGCTTTTACTGCACACAATACATTTAGAAGAACATATAATAATTAATTCCTTATTTGTTTGTTATTCTCTTTGGGTGTCATCACAGTCTCAAAGTCCTTACAGAAGCTCTTCCATAGTCCAACATGTTGCCAGGAAAAATTAAAACTAAAATTTCCCTTTATTTGTACTATAACAAGTACCCTTGCATATCTCCCATATCATTGAAAACATCTCTGAATATCTCTCAGTGCACAACATTATTGGCGCTGTGTGTCAATTTTGGCTGCTCCTTAGCTTGTTATGTAAACATCTACCATCTTCATGGTCAGAATTCTTCTAATGAATTCCACCCATGATTCTTTAAGTGCAGTGACCTCTTGTTTAATGTCTCTACTGGTATTATAATAGTTAACTGGTTGAATACTTCACAGCTTTTATCAAGCCCACTTATTATGGTCTACATCAATATATATCGATATAGATGACAGATATATATCTGTCAGTATAGGCTTTTCAAAGAAGAGAACCTATTGTCACAGAATTCACATATGCTTTGATTTTAGAAAAAGATGACTATATCAAAACGTGACTCATTTTCACCATTTTAAATGTAAAATTTCAGCAATGAAAAATGTTAATATTAAATGAAGACATCTCAACTTGAATGATTCCATTGCCACAAGAATGGCATTTACTTAGAATAACCCCTTTCTTTCTTAAGATATGGTTAGTCAGAGCACTCAGAGAGCACAACTCTCCGTGAAGGCCAAGGTCTATACTTGTTTTATGTTCTTTTTATTTTGCTGGTGTCTGACCTTTGACCTATGATTTGACTCATTACATATTAAATAGTTTAATTTCTTTACCACAGAACTGGTTTGTTGGTATATTTGGCTTGTATATTGATATTTTAAGATATATTCATGCAGTGGGTAATTTTGCAAAACATTGTGGCATCATTGTGATGCATTGGGTGTTGTATTTAAAAAAGTGTGTTGTAAAGTTTTTTTTTATCTGTGAAAAAATTTTCAAGAAACTCATTATTGTTTTCTTGAAAGTTTTTTCAAAGTCAATTCTATCCTCGGGCTCTAACAATGAAGAGTGAAGTCATGTCCCCCAATGCCTAGTATATCATTGTTAAGTTTGAAAATGTCCCTAAAAACTGACTGACAGACAAGCAAATGGAACCAGTTACATATCCCTTCCTGATAATTAAACCAAATATCGATCTAATGATAAAGGAAAATTGGCTGGTTCTTATAGTTCTAATAGTGCTTTCCTACTCTGAGCACTCAAAGCTCAGAGTGGTACAGAGACACAACATGCCTCTTCCATCTAAAGTTCACATTCATGCTCATTCATACTCATTCATACTCCGGTGGATGCATCGGGGAGGAACTTGGGGTTAGTATCTTGCCCAAGGATATTTTGCAAGCACACTAAAACAGACAGGGATCAAATCAACCTTCCGATAAGTAGGTGATCTGTTCTACCTCCTGAGTGACATGCTCTACTAAAATAAATACCCGATAGTCAAATAGTCAAGTATAGTGATAGCACAAGTACATATATGTAGGTTTATTCATACAAATAGGATATACTCAAACAAAAGACCCTGCTAGGCTATTTGTCATTAAACACATCAAAAATGTATTTGAATATTAAGCAAGATTTACATTCATTTTCCAATTCCAAAAGTAGAAAATCTTTAAAGTACATTTTACAAAATATATGGTGCAGTGCTTTTATACATTTATTAATACAGCACAGCATTCAGATTATGTTTATATATTCATATTTATTTCGGTGTGGTGACATGTCTGCAGCCATACCCTTGAGAGTGCTGAAAAAAATTAAACAATGACGCAAAGCATGCTAAAGGGATAACACACCCCTCATATAAAGTAGAGAGACCTTATAAAAGAAACAATGATACTGAAGGTGGAGATCAGTTATGGGGGGCTTCCAGGTCACATATATTTTCACAGGTGTCTCTTTTGTCTTACTTTTTTTTCCTTTTTTCTTTTTATGCTTTGTGTCTTCTTCACTTTCTTTATCGTGTAAGTTAGAAAGAAAGTTTAATCTCAATGAAATGCACAAGCCTGGCGATGTGGTACTGGGTGGGTTGTTTGAGGTCCATTACACTTCTGTCTACCCAGAGAGAACATTTACCTCAGAGCCTCAACAGCCTCACTGCACTGGGTAAGTGTCACACAAATACGACATCAGCAGAGACATGTACAAATAATAACTATTGAAAATATTCATGACAGATCTAAATTATATACAAGATAACTTATCTATCTTAGCCTACATATGTCAAAATATTAATTACACTTCTTATTTTATATTAACATACACTCATTTTAGGGTTCATTTTGCATATCTCTGCTTGTTTTCATGTTTGCAGATCTCTTTTAGTGAACAATACTGACGTAACGTTTGCTTGTTTGTTAGCTTTGATATTGTAGGGTTCAGGAATGCAATGACTATGGCATTTGCTATTGAAGAGATCAACAAGAATTTAAATTTGCTACCTAATGTGACTCTTGGATACAGTCTTTATGACAACTGTGGTGCCCTTGTTGTTGCACTCAGCGGTGCCTTATCACTAGCCAGTGGCCAGGAGGAACAGTTTCTGCTTCAGGAGAACTGTTCAGGGATCCCTCCAGTCCTTGGGCTTGTTGGTGATCACTACTCAACATTTTCCATTGCTATTTCCAGTGTGCTAAGTTTATACAATATACCTATTGTAAGTTTTAAGTTTCATATTTTTATGCTTGCACTGTGCGTTTCATTTAAGTGTAGTATTGATCCCCTGCGGTACATTTTGGCGGTACTTATAATAGCATTTGGACTGGCTTTTACTTGTATGATGTGTTAATATGTCTCTTGTATATTTGTAATAGGTGAGTTATTTTGCCACATGCTCCTGCCTCAGTGATCGTCAGCGTTTTCCAACTTTTTTCAGAACCATCCCAAGTGATGCTTTCCAGGTAAAACATAATTACCAAGTTAAATGAAATATACCACAGTTTTGGGAAAGGACTTTGAAATTATTTCTAATGACTTTGATGTATTTGATGAATAAGATAAATTATAGAGGTTGCATTAATTGGTTTCAGATGTGTATTTATAATTTTTTAAAAATAATACACTCATCTCATATCCACTTAGGTGCGTGCTATGATTCAGATTCTAAAACACTTTGGCTGGACTTGGATAGGTCTTCTAGTCAGTGATGATGATTACGGACTCCATGTTGCCCAATCCTTCCAATCTGACCTGGCTAAATCTGGTGACGGTTGTCTGGCCTACTTAGAGATTTTGCCCTGGGACAGTGACCCAAGTGAACTGAAGAGGATTGTACATTTGATAAAGACATCGACAGCTCGTGTGGTCATAGTGTTTGCACATGAGATACACTTAATTCAATTAATGGAAGAGGTTGGAAATAAAAAATGTTCACATAGATAATTTTTATTGCAGCATTGTAACTTATTTGTCTAGACAAAAATTACTGCCATTGAAGGTAAAATAGGTAATCTAATAATTAGATTAAACTGCTAACATTAAAAAGCAGAAACATCACAATGAAACTTAATCACTTTTATGTTATCAAAATGCCCCAAATGTGCAAGAAAAATAAACATTGTTTATTTAACTAACTTCATATCAATAACTTGATAACTTAATAGCTATAGTGAGAACCTACATAAATTTTGTATTCTACATTTATTATCATAGGTAGCGAAGCAGAATGTGATAGGTCGCCAATGGATTGCAAGTGAAACATGGACAACAGCGTCAGTGCTCCAAAGAGCCCACCTCACTCCGTACCTGCGTGGCACATTGGGCATTGCCATCCGCAGAGGCGAATTACCAGGGCTGAGGGAATTCCTGTTAAAAATACACCCAGACCAAAGTGACAATGGAAGATACAACAATAATTTGGTAATAATTCTGAAATAAATATAATTTGAAAGTATATCTAAAATGAATGAGAATGAGACATGAAATAAATAAATATTTTCTATTATCTCTAAATACTTTTATTCCATTACAGGTAAATCAGTTTTGGGAATTCACATTTCAGTGCAGATTTGCACCAGCTCCTGCGGGCTGGCTGGAAGCTGGAGGAGTGCTATGCACTGGGCAGGAGCATATTGAAAATGTGGACACTGAGTTTTTTGATCTTTCTAATTTCAGGCCTGACTACAATGTGTACAAGGCCGTGTATTCTCTCGCATATGCTCTTAATGACATGTTGCATTGCAAGCCAGGAACAGGACCCTTTAGAGGGCACAGCTGTGCTACTTTGCAAACAATGGAGCCATGGCAGGTATGGTATCAATTTATAAATTTTTGTTTGAAAAGCTACTGTGTCACTGAAGTTTTTGTTATTTAAAAAGGTCCATTATTCTATAAGGGTACTGATATGTTTGCAATGAATTTCCATTATTTTCTTTCCAAATTAAAAGAAATGGTAGAAGTAGTATTTTTTAAATAATTAAGAAAAATTAGATGAAACAACATTCTGAATTACAGTCTACCTTGATGCTGTTCCTTCTTTTTTTCCCATTAACCTTCATTAGCTCATACATTATTTACAAAATGTCAACTTCACCACTCCATTTGGTGATCAAGTATCCTTTGATGAAAACGGTGATGCATTGCCAATATATGATGTCATGAACTGGTTACACCTACCTGATGGGCAAATTAAAGTTCAGAATGTTGGTGAGGTTAAAAGGTCAGGCTTTAAAAGTGAAGAACTCACCATTGATGAAGATAAAATGTTCTGGAATTTTGAATCAGGAAAGGTTATTTCTACTTTTCTAAATAACTTCTTTTAGAAAAATACTGAGTGAAGTAGTGTATATTGAACCTTACATGTAATCAGTTTGTCTTTCTCTAGCCACCCCAATCAGTGTGTAGTGAGAGCTGTCTTCCAGGCACCCGGATGGCTAGAAACAAAGGACAACCAGAGTGCTGTTTTACTTGCATTCCATGTTCAAAGGGAAAAATCAGCAAAAACAACAGTGGGTATTTGTAATTCAAGGATATTTTAATTTTAATTTTGAGAAATTATACATAGTTATAAACAATTGATATCGTTGATTATATGCCTTCCCATTGTTGTCAGATTCCTTGGAGTGCATCAGTTGTCCAGAAGATTTTTGGTCAAACCCTCAGAATGACCACTGTGTTCCAAAGAAGACAGAGTTCCTGTCCTACCATGAGCCTCTGGGTATTTGTTTGACAACTGCCTCTTTGTTGGGCACATTTATCTGTGCAGTTGTTTTAGGGATCTTTTTCTATCATCGACGTACACCCATGGTACGTGCAAACAATTCAGAGCTGAGCTTCTTGCTCTTAGTATCACTAAAACTATGCTTCCTGTGTTCACTGTTATTCATCGGAAGACCCAGGGTATGGACATGCCAGCTGAGGCATGCAGCATTTGGCATCAGTTTTGTGCTTTGCGTCTCATGTATCCTGGTGAAAACCATGGTTGTTCTGGCTGTGTTCAAAGCCTCCAAGCCAGGAGGGGGAACCATTCTTAAGTGGTTTGGGTCGATGCAACAGAGAGGGACAGTTCTGGCTCTTACTTGTATTCAGGCAGGAATCTGTACTGCCTGGCTTGTCTCTTCCTCTCCAACTCCACATAAAAACATGCAATACCACAATGACAAGATAGTGTATGAGTGTGCAGTTGGGTCTACAATTGGCTTTGCAGTGTTACTGGGTTACATTGGTGTGCTGGCTATCCTTAGCTTTTTGCTAGCATTTCTAGCCAGGAATCTTCCAGATAATTTCAATGAGGCCCGACTCATTACATTCAGCATGCTAAGTTTCTGTGCCGTGTGGGTGGCCTTTGTCCCAGCTTATGTCAACTCTCCAGGTAAATATGCAGATGCAGTGGAAGTATTTGCCATTTTGGCTTCAAGTTTTGGGCTATTGGTGGCACTGTTTGGACCCAAATGTTACATAATTCTGCTGAAACCAGAGAGAAACACAAAGAAGGCAATCATGGGTCGGCTCACTATAAATGAATAGAATTAATACAATTTGGGTTATTTAAATTAATCACTTAATCAGTTGAATTCATTTCACATTTTGTCTCCAACAGTAATAATTTAAGGTCGCTAAAATCGTAAATCTTTTATCAAACAATAGTATGGCTAATAGATTTTTTTATGAGCATTATCATGGCAAAATGTTATCTTAGAGAAATCTTAACTTGCTGGATTGTTCGCCTCACCAGATCTTTTCCCCCTTCAAGTTGAAAGTTTTGGATCTCAACCAAAAGAATGCACAAGAAATGAATTTACAAATTCTAATATTCAAAAGAGTTGCAGCTGTAAGCTAAAGATATTCCATTCAGAGCAGATGATTTTTTGTGAATTTATCCTTAAAGGCTACCTGAGAAAACAAACAAACAAAACAAAAAAAAAAAAAAAAAAATGAATGCTGCCATTGTAAAAAACTGACCTAATTTGAGCTCCTACCTGCTCATGAAAGCAGACCAGGCCAGACACACACAGACACAGAAACAGAGACAGACGCAAACAGAAAACAGAAACTGACCATTTGCCTTAAATGTGTTGTAACATTTTGGTTGTCCTCAGTATTTTAATCTTAATATGGGTGTATTGTTTCTCACAATAAATCGATGTGATAAAATCTGTTTCTGCCTAGAGAACATGAATGTAAAGGGTGATATTCATATTAAGGTAGATAATTAATTAAAGCTCCTGTGCTTGTGTGTGTCTGTGCCTGTTGACAAATTCAGGTAGAGGTACTATTAAAAAAGCAATAATACATATGCTTTTTTCTTTATTGGGCAAAATTAGTAGGGGTTTCAGGGAGTGTAGAACACTGTCTAAACACCTAGGTAAACCAGGTCCAATAACGATGCAGAGTCACAGTAGACTAAACATCTACTGAATCTTAATCTATTGTTCACAGATATTCTGATGAAAACGTCAAATAAACAATGTAAAAAAACAATACAAAAATAGTTAGCATCTACACTCCTAACTCAAATTAACAATAAGTGGTACCATTGCGTCATGAATTAACCTGTCAATAAAATACTTCAGGTTTAATATCTAACATATTATGTAAAATAAACTAACTTTAGCCAATACTTCCATGATGCTTCAATGCAGATGAAAGCGAATTGTGTTCAGCACATACTTGACATGGCTGCTATGCTAATTCTCAAAACAGGAAGTGATGTCATCATATTATCATATTATAGTTAAATGATCCACCCCCACCCCTTATTTTACACAGAGTATAGCCTTTAAAGAATACAATTATCAAATTTGTTTAAAGTATCTTGGGTCTTATTCACAGCTAACTTAAAAGTATATGAATATATGAAACCAAAGGAATTGTACTTAAGGCTACGTTCACACTGCAGGTCTTAATGCTCAGTTCCGATTTTTTGATCAGATCCGAATTTTTTGTCTGCTTGTTCACACTACAAATAAAATGCGACAGCAAACACGCTCTAGTGTGAACGCTCAAAGCGGCCCGCATGCGCAAAAGAACACGTCACACACAACGCGCTCTGTTTAGACCCAGAGCAAACAGTATTGTTTGACTGATGGCCCTTAATATAAAGACTTCAGACTTTACGTTTCCCAATTTTTGCTTTAAGTTATTTTGTTATTTACATAATAATGTAGATAACCTAATAATTATCCATATTGCTGTTTTAGAGGAGCGGTGCTTCAAAGGATAGTTGCAGATTTCTGTCAGAATCTGCAGATTATACAGTACAAATAAAATGTTCACGTTTCTCCAACGTTGTCTTCCCAACAGTTTCACTG